GTTTATTTTTAGTCACTTAGATTTATAACCTAAGTTTATTATTAATTCTTTTACTAATAACTTGGCTTTCATTTATCAATTAGGGTTATAACTTTCCTGTCACTGGGCATTTGTTCAGTTCATTTGTTCCCCTCCTGAAAATGTTAGCTCAAATATGGCCATCTGTCCATACGTATGTTAACTGACTCTTTCATCAGGAATTGAAATTTGGTTCCTGTCTGTTGAAGTATACTTTTACCGCCATATTATCTGTCCTTGTAAGGATGTGAAAATCTTCCAGCAGATGAGAAAACTGTCAGAAGGCTGAGGAATGGCTCTATGTTCCAGCAAATTGATATTTAACTGGGACTCCTTTGTGGACCATACATCCTACATATAATGAACATGAAGATGTCCAACACTTTTAGGCAGCTATCTCATTCCTGAGTGGAAGTGGAAAAAGATTCATCTACCATTTCAGAAAATGTTCTGGTACCAGGTCACATTGTGGACTGCCTTATCCAAAATTATTCTGCCAGTCCTGTGAGACCACCTAGAAAGAGCTTAAGGTCTCATCTCTGTGAAGGTGAAAGGGGCATGGACCAGAATACAGGCCTTTTCTATGATTGCCCAATATTGTGGAATATCCCAAAAGTGCACTTGGCCTGTTTCCTTTCAGCTTTCCAGAAGATACTGAAGACCATTTTTTAAAGTGGGCCACTTAGTCCAGTGATGCCTGGGCAGACATTTTTATCAGTCAGTTAGTATCCATAAACACAGATAGAGACTGAAATTGTTCAAGATGCCTTCCTAAATTTCGAGAAGAAAAAATCTTTAAAAAGCATGCCTGGATTAATGCCCATGTAGCTTACAACTTTTCCCAGAACTCTAACTAGATTTTTAGATAAATGGATGCCAGATTCCTCACCAACTTTTAATTTCTGGGGACAAAAACATATTTCCCAAAGGAAAGAGCATTATTCCCAAGGAAAAGAGTCCCAGAACTGGAAACAAGATGGCCTTCCTTTCATAACAAGAAATCCAGAATGCTGTAGAGTAACCAGAGTCTCAGCTATATTTAGCCAAGATTTCTGTTGGAATAATGCTTAGATCAAGTATAGATCAGGGGAATCTGCAGTGAAGGGATTGAAAATGTAAAGATGGCATCTGTGACCATGCAATTAAAGCCCCACTTCTTTTCTATGTGCATCAATTTCAGATGCAAAAACAATATAGGAAAGAGATTCTAAATTATTCTACTCTTCACAGGAAAACACAGCATAGGTTGTGGGCAGGGGAGGTTAAGCATGTGTCTGTCTTTTGCAATTTACAGTTTTACACATACAGTGGTACCTCTACTTACGAACACCCCTACTTAACGAAATTTTCAAGATACGACCAGCTC